AACCACCATTTGCTATGAAGAAGTGTGATGGTTTCCTGCATCTTCTTGGTTTTTGAGAATGTCTGCTGCTGTAGCTTTCTCCGTGGCATTGTACTGGGCAGCCTGGGAGGGATCCACAGTTCAGCAGACTTTCTGTAGTGGCTGCAAAGAGAAAGCAGCCCTGCTATCAAATGTAATTCACAGCATCTTGCTTGCATTTTCAGGAAAGGGCTCCCTCTAGTGTTTTTCTTCAAATATGAAAGCTAACCACCACCACCCCATCTTGACATCCATTTATGTGACCATAAATAATGGTTCGCCCTCAAAGGCTACTGGATTCCAGGATTCCATGAGAGGGATTCCGGTTGAACTGGTTGGTGCTCCTGTCGAGGCTCTGGTTGATGGCTGGTTCACAGCAGCCACCAGGGCTGTAGACACGATTGCTCCTAAACGCCCTCTCCAATGCAGAGCTCGGCCAGTGTCCTGGTTTAATCAGGAGCTACGAGCGATGAAGCAAACTAGGAGAAGGCTAGCGTGCATTTGGAGACAGAAACTGACGGGTCACAATAAGGTAGCTGTCAGGGTCGCGACTAACCTTTATCTTGCTAAGATAAGTGCTGCTAGTCAAGCTCACCTTGCTAACCGGATAAGCGAGGCGTCAAATTAGCAGGTGGAACTTTTCCGTATAGTCTGCGACCTTTCCGGAATTGGTCAAAGTGATGAGTCTCTGTTGGTCCTCAATATCTCAGCTGCCTTTGATACTGTCGACCACAGTATCCTCCTGGGGAGGCTCTCTGAGCTGGGAATCAGTGGCCTGCCGTTGACCTGGGTCCGATCCTTCTTGGAGGATTGTCTTCAGAGAGTCCAGCTTGGGGAGGGGGACTCGGTCCCCTGGAGCCTCAATTGTGGAGTTCCACAGGGCTCGACCCTCTCCCCAATGCTGTTTAACATCTATATGAGGCCGCTGAGTGGGGTCATCAGGGGGTGTGGAGCATCATGACATCAGTATGCTGATGACACTCAACTTTACATCTCTTTTTTTCCAACTACAGAGGATGCTGTTCTGTCCCTTCAGTGCTGTCTGGGGTCTGTACTGCAATAGATGCAGGAAAACAGGCTGAGGCTGAACCCGGACAAGACGGAGGTCCTGAGGGTGGGTGGACTCATCTGGCTCCCTTGCTGGGCACTTTCAAAAACCAACTCAAGACCTGGTTATATAGACAGGCCTTCCCTCCAGGCACTGCGTACCAGTAACTTTCTCTTTTTCTCTATCTTTATCTACTCTGTTTCATGTAAATGTTGTAAATTGTTATTTGATATTGTTTTTATTCTGCATTTTGTGAGCCGCCCATAGTAAACTATGTCTAAATGGGCAACATATAAGCTCAATAAACAAACAAACAAACAAATAAATAAATAAAATTTGCTGACGCCTCCATTCTGGGACTTGTAGCTGGTAAAGCTGGGTGTGTGGACTGACCGGAATCTCTTCATACTTTGGTTCAACAATGTGGGAGAGGTGGAGGAGGAAGGGAAAGGAGATGGAGGCAGAGGGGTTGGGTGGCCATTTTGCACTGGTATCAAAAATGAAGGATGATGATCTTTTCCTATGTGAATAGGACTCTGGAACTTTAAAGAGCCATTAGAAACAAGGAATTAAGGAAGCAGAATGAGTAGGGCGACCTTCTGGAAGACTGAGAGGGTTAGAAGTTGGGGCAAAGTTAAGTGGGGCTGGAAGGTTAGTGCTATCACCACTAGACACAGAACTACTTTTCCCAGAGATGGAAGAAAAGGCTGGGATTTTTGAAGCAGGCAGGGTAGGGGAAGTAGCCTTATAGTCCCCATCAGCTTTCTTAGCATTTCCGTTAACTTGTAAATAGTTTAAGTCAGCATACATGAAGTGCATCAGAAATTAGGCTGATAAAGAACAGGCAGTCCGAGGCCTGCACTACCTCTTGTGGTTGTGGATTGAGACTAGTATATTTCCCTCTCTCCTCATTCCTCTTTCCCCACTTTTAAGCCACACAACAAAATGTTCAGAGGCTGAAGAAGCTGGAAAAAAGAGAGAATGTGAAAGGATGGCACCCAGATATTTGGGCTGATCACCATGTTGGTCATGTGTCAGGATTGTTAGAAGAGGATGGAAGCTTTTCAGTAGGTAATTAATAGGCACAGCTTGCAATCTGCTCGTAGCAAGGGTTTAATCTGAAATGTGTCAAACAGTTTCTGTTGCAGATCCTGAAGAAATTACAGCTGAGGACTGAAAGAAAACTCAAGATATTTTGCCACAGACATGCAACAATGCTACTGTTTAAATATTTGCATGTCTCCCATGTCTTGGTTTTGCACTTCCAGATTTGAATGGGAAGGCAGAGGACAAAGGTGACCAGTTATCCTGATTGCAGCATTATCCAGCAGCTACAGACTCTCGTGTACATTTCTGTTAACTGCGCTCTGATGTACTTGACAAATTAGCACCAGCATAAAGCTGTCTAAGAAATGTAACTTGACTATTATTCATGTCTCTATCCAGCTGGGTTCAGGAAATAACATCTATAGTTGCAGCATCATGTCCAACCTGTTTAGTTCCCTATATGTTGTTGAACTCCAACAACAAATTATATTTTGGATTAATAAATGTAGATTAATGACTACCTTCGTAATTAAAGCCACTAGTGCCTCCTAGGGGTGCGAGAATAAATTCCACGGAAGGGGAAGACTATGAGATTTTCATAATGAAAAAATATTTTTGTCAGTATAAACAAATTCCTGCAATAAACATCAGTATTTTTCATTTAAAATATTTTAATACATTGTGTTTATTTTGAATTATAGATGGAATTCTATATACAGTGGTGCCTCGCATAGCGAGGTTAATCCGTTCCGGATTAACCTTCGCTATGCTGAAGCATCGCTGAACGGGGCAGCGATTTCTATTGGAACGCATTAAACATCGTTTAATGCGTTCCAAATAGGCCAAATACTCACCGTTCAGCGAAGCTTCAGGATGGCCGGCAGCCATTTTCGCGCCCTCGCCTCGCTTAACGAGGGCGCGAAAACGCTGTGCGCGGCCATTTTAGGCCATTTCCCGGCTTCCGGCGGCCATTTTGGCCGCCAAACAGCTGATCGGCGGGGGGCGTTTTGCGAAGATCGGTAAGCGAAACGCTTACCGGTCTTCGCAAAGCGAATTTTTCCCTATGGGAACAACGTTGTGCGATCGCATTAGCGATCCGAAAAAACGGATCGCTATGCGATTTAATCGTTATACGGTGCGCTCGTTAAGCGAGGCACCACTGTATTACTCACCAGTAATGTAATGGTGGTGGCCCCCTAGTGACATGCTTTTCCCAACATATCGATGTATCAGGCATGAAAAATAATAATTTAAAAAATATGCGCGCCAACGACGGCCACCTTCCTGGCTTTGATTCTGAAAAGAAGCAGGGTGGGTCATATATATATTTCTATGGGAAGAAACATTGAACTATTGGTATGGCAATGTCACTGGGGGAGCGGGGTGATCGCCAGTACTGCTGCACAATTATCCCATGCCCACTGTGTGCAATGCATTTCTGCAGGAGCAGCCAGTGTAATAGAGGACACTTTCTTAAACAGAAACCCTTCCTGATCAACATTCCCTCTAATTTTCAGCCCTGCAGGGGTTGTGGGTGCACAGGGAAGATATATATATATAAAATCAAAGGGCTAAATTGCCCCTTGAAGCAAGAGAGAAAATAAACCTGTACCATGGTGTAGCTGGCCATTAACGATTCAAATAGGAGGAAATAGATCAGTACTGTACTGCTAGAAGTTCTTGGGACATTCATCCTGGATAACAACCATGTGACCATGATTCAGTACAACAGAGATGTGGAAAGCAGTGGAAGAACTCAATAATATCTTGTGCAACCAGGGCCTAAGTGGTGTAATCCCAAGTCGGCGGGACCTTCCATTCAACATCCGTTTAATTGGATACCGGTCATTTACACCAAACTATCTTCACAGATCTGTTTCTTGCTAGAAAGAGAAGTGCAGTTCTCTCAGGTCCCATGCAGTGGGCAAAAATTGATTCTGTCACAAACAGGTTTCTACTTCTTTTTAACTGTGAAAAAACATTCAGTTACTCAGTGAAGTAATCCCCACGGCTATCATGTTCTACCAGGAATGTAAGAGGCCCGTACCAGATATTTTTTTTCTTGTTCTCTGGCAAGGAAAAAGAACAATCAGGCATCAATAGGCACATTACCATAAATAAAATGCAGGGCTCTCCACAATGAATGGGTCTATTGAATTTGTTGTGCAAGTCACGTCCAGTTTTCATCCAAACTTTTTACTAAACTTGTGTATGGAGAGAATAGGAAAGCTAGGAAACAACTGAAGTCTTTGTTAACTTCAGGCTCCACTAGGAAAGTACATTCATGTACTGTAAAGTAGCATTAATTCTAACCAAAGAAATGAAACGGGTATTAGAACAGTGTTAGTTTAGAGGCCAAACATAATGGTAGGAATACTTAACTTGTACACTATTTTGAATTTGTTTCTTGCTATTTCTGAAAGACTTGTATAAACCTGAGCCCCAAGAGGTTTCTCTGAAATTGGGTGGAATGCCCTCCCGACTGAGATTCATCTGGCGCCGACGCGGATGACATATTGGTGCCAGGTCAAAACCTTCCTGTTCCAGAAGGCTTTTAATTGAAATAATATCAGCTGTGGGTCTGATGGCAATTTTTAGAGTATGTATTTTTAATTGCATTTTAATTACTTTGGCCTTTTATTTTGCCTTTTTATTGTATTTTAAATGTTGTAAGATGCCCAGAGACTGCCAGAAGTTACTTAATGGAACATAGCAACAAATATTCAGTGAAAATCAGTTGCAACTTGCTTTTTGACATCTGGAAAAAAATCAGAGACAAATAACTGAGTTTTAAAAGTTCACAATGAAATATAAATTATATATGGAAGTTTGATCAGCATTAACCATAAAAGTTATTAATCCATTTAAAAAATCCAAACAAGTCATGTATCAGGTAAAAAATTTATTGTAAACAAGTACTGTCAGCATCATAAAGTGTCCAGTTAAACAACTCATGATTCGTAAAGTTTTTTGTCTGACTGGAAATTAACAGTGCTCTTCTCTTCAAATTAGTCATTCACTACTGCCATTTAAGATACTTGGAAGAATTCTATATTCCATATTTCTCGATCATCCCATTTGCTTTAGAAATATAAGCCTTCATGGCATCGTCCTTTGACAAACCTGTAGTGAAAAACTAGCAGTTATAACCATGTCTTATTCCAGGAAAATAACAAAACAAAAGGTTTGATATGGTTTACATGAATTATAACCTTTCTTAAGATTCCATGCTTCCCACTTGGCTTTGGCTTTCATATCTAGCATTCCAGGACAGTCTGTCAAGAAACAAGACACAAATAATTCAGTCAAAATCAACATATGTGTTTTAAAAATGCAGGGTCAACATTCATGTGGATTGTGTACGTGTGTCCAAAGTTACCAATATTAATGTCTCCCACAGTAGCCTGTTTGTAGAGCCCATACAGTTCTCTAAGTTCATCATCAGTAGGCCTGGTCTTTAATTTTCTAACATTTTCCGCAGCGTTGTCAAAGTCAGCCTGAAGAGAAGAAATAAAACATCATCACTATAAATGGCCACAAGCTATTTTTGTAGAGTTTGAACCTTCCTTGACTGCAAAGCTTGGAAAAGTTACTTTTCAGAACTACAATGGTGCCTCGCTTTACGATTGCCCCACATTACGATGAAACCACTTAACGACAATCTTTTTGCGATCTCAATTGTGATCGGAAAACGATGGTCTAAATGGGGGAATTTCGCTTTGCGATGATCGGTTCCCTGCTTCGGGAACCAACTCTTCGCAAAACGACATTTTCTGAACAGCTGATTGGCGGTTTCAAAATGGCCACCGGGTGATTAAAATGGCTCCCTGCTGTGTTTAGGGACGGATTCCTCGCTTTACAGGCAGCAAAAATGGCCGCCGTATGGAAGATCTTCGTTGGACGGTGAGTTTTTACCTCATTGGAACGCACTGAGCGGGTTTCAATGTGTTGCAATTGGGTTTTTATTTTTGCTTTACGATGTTTTCGCTTAATGGCAAGTTTCCTGGAATGGATTATCGTTGTTAAGCGAGGCACCACTGTACAGTTCTTAAAATCCAAGTCATCATGACACTATTTTCATTCAACATTTGCCTCCAAACTTAACTGTATGGTTGTTACTTCTGCTTTTCCTCTGTACTCACTCTGAACTACTGTTACTGCAGGGGTAGGAATTCCAGCACACACAAGCAGCATCCTCATTTTTAAAATTAACCATACATCTCTGAACACTGAAATAAAAAAAGCATTCTGAAGGGCATGAAGAATTTATAATTGCTTCTCTCCTTGCATCACAATCCAGACACACACATACATAGACGCCCATTATAATGGGACTGCTAATTGTTACTTCTTTGCAGAGAAGATGGGATGATGTTATAATGCAACAGCAGGAACTCTTGGCATTGCAGGCCAGATGTGGCTTGCTGAGGTTCCTCCCATCTGCCTGCAGGCTCCTTTTACTGCTACCTTTGCTCTGTAAACAGAACCAATGAGGCTATTTAAAATGTGTAAACTGAACTCTGGTTTGCATATTAAGAAGGCGTTGCATGGAAGTAGATGGATTTTAGTTCACAGTTCCTCCATTTCTTGCCTCTTCTATTTTTAAAAAAGGGATTAATTTCACATGGTCATAAAAATGGCTAGAATTAAAATGGATTCACCACTGAACTCATCCCGCAACGAGCAGCACCTAACTAAAGAGCCTTGTGGCGCAGTGGTTAAAACGCTGTACTGCAGCTAAAACTGTGCTCACGACCTGGGGTTCAAATCCCAGGTAGCTGGCTCAAGGTTGACTCAACATATTAAGAAGGCGTTGCATGGAAGTAGATGGATTTTAGTTCACAGTTCCTCCATTTCTTGCCTCTTCTATTTTTAAAAAAGGGATTAATTTCACATGGTCATAAAAATGGCTAGAATTAAAATGGATTCACCACTGAACTCATCCCTCAACGAGCAGCACCTAACTAAAACACATCATTCATTTCTATACTCCTTTTTCTTAACTTTAGTCCATAAAATTCCCCACCCACCCAAACTGCACAACCAGTTATTGTACTGTACATGTATCACCAGTGTTACTATGACATGTCATGTGTAGAGCTCTTACTTCATCCTCTCCCAAGAGGCTCAGTTTAACAACAAAAGTGTTTTAGAACAATTTTTAAAATCCTGTTATAATCTCACTTCCTAGTGCTAACTGATGTGGAAAAACAAAACAAAAAAAACACATCATTCATTTCTCTACTCCTTTTTCTTAACTTTAGTCCATAAAATTCCCCACCCACCCAAACTGCACAACCAGTTATTGTACTGTACATGTATCACCAGTGTTACTATGACATGTCATGTGTAGAGCTCTTACTTCATCCTCTCCCAAGAGGCTCAGTTTAACAACAAAAGTGTTTTAGAACAATTTTTAAAATCCTGTTATAATCTCACTTCCTAGTGCTAACTGATGTGGCATTCTCATACAGTCTGTGTTGTAGCTGTATTTTTCTGTGTATAAGACACCTCCCACTTTTCTAACCCAGAATTAATTTCTTCGCAAGAAAGTGGTGGGGGAAGGCAGGGATCAAAGCGCTTTGATGATTCTTGCTTTCGCCCTCCATTTTCTTGCGAGGAAAGTGCTTTCCCCCTCCACTTTTTTGCAAGAAAGTGGAGGGGGAAAGCAGGAATCAAAGCGCTTTGACCCCTCCCCCTCCTTACATCTATGTATAAGACGACCCTCAATTTTTAATATAAAGATTTTAGACAAAAGTATCATCTTATACACAGAAAAATACGGTATATGTGCAAAACAGCTGCATTCTGCAGAAGGACCATTACTAATAAGTTATTTTTATTATTTATTTATATTTATGCCTCACCCATTTAGTGAACAAGCCACTACTCTATTTTCCAAGTAATCTATTACTCCCAGAAAGCGAGGTAGGGAGGCGGAATTAATACTGCAGTCCATGTACTGTACTACCAAAAAGATACATGAACTTGTTTAAAGCAAAGGCAAGGGGCCTCCCAGACACATCTAGGTGCCAATTGTAGAGATGATGGCCTCAATAGGCCTTTTGTCTGATCCAAAACTGAGCTGTTTGTATTCTTAAGAGATTGTCAGTTTCTGCTTCCAATGTCTTCTATTCCTTTTCAAAAGCATGAAATACAGGTCCTTTCCTGTACTGTATATTTAGCATTTTTCTGAATATTCTGTCCTCATGTATAGATATGAACAGGGGAAAATAAATAAAATCTAGTGATTTTGCCAACTGATACCCAAGTCAGTGCCCCCTCCAAAAGTTGCCAGATTGAAATTCCCATCATCCTTTACTACGGTGGCTAGGGCTGATGTGAGTTGTCCAAGAACATCTAGATGGCTAAATGTTTGCCATCATTGCATTAGAGTCGACGCTGGTCTTAGTCCATCTTTGAGACAATGCGGAGAGCCCTGTTTGTTTCTCCTTATGTATCGGTATAAAACACCTTTACATTCTCTATCACTATCTTCAAAAAGTTTTTTAATACTCCAAAAAAATGGGAAAGGTCTGTTACAGTTCAACAACAAAATAGCTTTTGTATGGTAAAAGTGAAAATGATCAGGAAAGAAAGATAAAATTGATAAGATCATTTCTTTTCTACCACAGAGAACTAAACTGAGTATCCTCCAGCCTTCCATATGTCAGCTGATCCAGAGCTTGGCAAAGTCAGACTACAGCTCCCAGAATCCCCTAGTATACTAGTCTTGTTTTTTTATTTTCTTAAGCTCTGATTGCTGATCCATGCAGTGAAACTCCAGCGCAGCATAGACCTTGAGTGAGTGAGTGAGTGAGTGAGTGAGAGAGAGAGAGAGCGCATGTGTAAAAGCTGCAATGCAGCTACTGAAGGTACATGGCATCATTCCAGACATATTTAATATCTGTGCTCTCAGTAGGTTGGGATTTTGTTTGGGAAATTGGCTTTGGTAACAATTTTTATTTTATGGCCTCCTTGGATACACAGTTTTTCCAATGTAAGATAACACGAAGGACAAGTTATGTTGCAAGGCAGGAATTCTGTGAAACTGGACTTTTCATAGGGCTGAAATTTAAGATTACTTAACAGCACAATTTTATGCAAGTCTATTTAAGCACAGCAAAGTCTAACACAGCTTATCCCAGATAGGAGGGTACAAGATAGCAGATGTAATGCAAATTTAATTACTCTGTTAATACTGTGATGATTCGTATGAGTGGTTAAAAGGGCTGTCACTAATTAAAGCCTTGTTTATGGATGGATCAAAAATGAGAACATTAATTTTTTAAGATAATTATTCCTGGGATGATCTGGGATCCATATGGGTGCTACTATACATATGGTTGTTCATTGAGTTTTTCTTGCTATAGAATTTACAATGAATACGGCAAAGTTGGTTGCCCTGAGTTCTATGTAATGACAACCAAACATGGAAGGAAGTTTAATAGTTTTAAAGTCAGCTATCGTCTTGAACTGAAAAAGAAGATTCTTTCATCCCCTCCACTCAAATTCAGGATGCAGCTTTCATATCCACACCAGCGACAATTTCTAAAGACAACAAATGGTGGTTAAATGTACCCAGGACGTTAAGGACAGAAGAGGTACATTTCAGTGAATAAACTCCCAAAGAGAAGGGGAGGGTTTATATGTACATGTTCTATAAAGAGAATTTAAAGGCTGCTTTTCATTCTGCCAGGCTCCAAGATTTGCAGATTCAGAGGATTCAAAGTGACCTTGAGCCCTGTCACCTAGCTAAAAGAGATGATAAAGAGCTGTCTGGATCTCACATCTCCAAGGGGAAGGTGACACTGATGCAGCATGTGAGTCAAGAGACTTAACTGCTCCACTAGACTACAGCCTTTCCATTGGTCTGAAACCTTATGTACCCTCAGTCTTCCTATCTACCTGATGGAGGTATTTTGGTCAGTCTTCATCCAGTCTTCCTATCTACATACATTTGCCCTGATGGAGGTATTTTGGTCAGTCTTCATGCAAATCTGTGTGGATATGTGAACAATGAGATATGTGCATTGTGCAAAGTTCATGTGGCATCAGTTTATACTGCCAACAATACAAGTCAGGCTGTAGCTAAACATCCTCACATCTTCAAGTGAAACAAAGATCAAGTTAAAGATCACATCTATTTCTCAAAGATAGCAAGGATCTAATCTTTAGAATCAGTAAGGAACATTATGGCAAAGGCACTGGGAAATAGTCTAATTTAGTACAGTATACATTTTTCCAAGTATGCATAATGCCAATACTAAAAGCCACTGTCTAACCAATTTACTCCATCCACTCTGACATGGGGCTGTCAAAATTCCGTTCCCACAACCTCCCTCCTCACAGAGCACTGAATAAAAGGAACAAGCATAGGACATCACTGATATGAAACAATGGGCCACTGTGTTCCATTATATGATCCAGAGCTCTTATAAAATGCAGGACCCATTCTTCATTTTTTTCCTGTTTGTGTCACCATGATACCATCATTCATTCATGCTATCCTATTCTAACCTACCAATAAGAAAAATGCACCATTACAAACACAATCACAAAGTTATTTTTGCATCATTTTCATCCCCACACTTCCCTTTTTTGTATTACTCTTTTATTAATATTACACAATTTATAGTCTTTTCTTCCTGTTTGATCTTGCCTTAGTCATATAGTTAGAACACAGTTCTTTGAAAACCAATGGTTCCTAAGTTAACCTGGATCCAACATATAAAGTTTGCACCAGAATGACAATATTCTTGTGTTCGTACAGTTACTAGTTCTACTGCCATTTAAATATCTAGAAGCTATTTAAAAATATTTGGACCCTTGTTACTTGAAAATCAAACTAGTAACAAATAACTACTTCATTTGCCCCTAAGCACTGAAACAGGCTCAGCAGGATTTTTTTTAATCTTTAAGAAGCAAGTGCACAGTACTTCAGTTGCCCCTAAGCACTGAAGTAGGCTCAGCAGGATTTTTTTTTAATCTTTAAGAAGCAAGTGCACACAAACCCTGCTTTTATTAAATGCTATTTTTAAATGCACCCCTCCATCAGCCAATCTGCACAATCTCAAACACAGTTCTCAGAAAGTAAGCCTCTCTTGGCCAAGGGGTACCTTACTTCCAAATAACACACAGCAATTAACCAGCCTATGGCTGTCAACATTTTGCATTATGGTGCACTGCAAACTGCTGAGTCTGTATTTTTGTAGCAGATCCTAACACAAAAAAACCCACATTAAAATGAATCTGTTAAGTGTTCAAGGTGTCACACGCCCTTGCTCTGTGTCTGTTTTCCTACACAGGATAAGGAAGTGCACAACAATCTTTTGGGAGTGAGGTGGAATTCACAATGAGGATATTTAATTTTAAAAAAACCAAAAGATAAACCACTGTTCTGCCAAGAGAAAAACATGCTAACATTTCAAAAAAATTAAATCTCAAACCTAAATCATTTCATTACACTTTTTATATCTGGATGAAGTTACAAGAAAAGTGCCAGTGGCCATTAGCATTTCAGCTGCAATACACAGCTATGGCTTGCATTTAGCTACCTCCTTCCTCTCCCTCTAAAAAGCTTTAAATTCCATGCATGTTACACAACAACCGTACTTATTGTTAAAATCCCCTTTTGGGGGATTCAGCTTGGAGCCCAGGCAAAGCTGCTGAGTTACTGGATATATTTTGATTTTGAAGGATTAGGATAATGTCCTTTCTGCATCCCTCTCATTTTCTACCAGCCCTCTTCCGCATGAAACTGAGACCAGTCCAGCAGAACAACTAAGAAAGGGCTGAGGTTTGCAAATCAGTAAAAGCAGCTTTCACGCACTTAGCAGGCTGCAGAGAAGCACCTGCAGAGAATTCCAAGAGAAGGGGAATCAAAAGCATCCTCCACCCCAGCCAAGCAAATACTGTCTGCAGAATCTGGCAGTCCCGGAGTCCAGAAGGTTGCTCTGGAGGAAGCTCTATGCACCTCACAGACCACACTCGATGCAAAAAGATGATTATCAGAGCATGAAAGTGGGGCAGCTGAAGACATACAGCCTTTAACACATCCAAAATCCCTAGAAGCCGCCAGTTTACGAATACTCCCTGAGATTTATTTAAAGCTGAGGTCCCCATCCAGCTGATAAGGCAGATCCCTGGTGCATCAAGCAATTCTATGACTCCTCTCTTGCAAAGGTACATAATTAAATTTATGCATGCCCTTTTCACAGTGAAATGCACACCATCACCCCTTAAACTCACTTATGTCCAATAAAATGCATGCCTGACTCTTATGACTTGTCACTCAGCCTTAGCTGAATGAATAAAACAGCCCTCTTAAAAACTCATTAAGTCAGGGATGAGACACAGGTAGCCTTCCAGGGCACAATGCAAATCCCACTACCCTTCCTTACACACTGGAGGTAATGGGAGGAAGCCTTCCCAGAGCTCCAAAGAGTTGCCTTTTGTTTTTAATTACAAGATGCTGGCTGCAGGATTATGGCAGTTGTAGTCCAAAAGAGTAACTTTCCAACTTTCCGTTGTTATGTCAGTTCCATTAGCAAAACCAAGCCAGGCACCCCTCCAGCGCTAAGCCAAGACCCTGTTGCAGCACCACAGTAGAGCTGCCTCCTACGAGGGGGTGCTGATAAGTATTGAGCCTTTCCCAGAACAAATTGAGCTAGGAAGCTATAAAATGCAGGGTGTATTGGCCAATTTGTCTGTATTCAATGGTGCAAAAATCAACTACCTATGATTTTAACTTATCTTTCATATTCAGGTCCAAAGTGAACATGGCAGCACCTCCAGAAAAGTTCAATGTGGAAGAGCATACAACCATAATCAAGTTTCTCCTGTTTCTCCAAGGGAAAGGTGCAAAGCAGATCCATGATGAAATGTCTCTAACTATGGGTGACAGTGGCCCTTCATATGCAACAGTTAAACGTTGGGTTGTCAATTTTTAAACTGGACATTTCCGTATTGAAAGTGAGAAACCCAGTGGAAGGCCTGTTTCTGTCTCTGTGCCTGCAAATGTGAAAGCTGTCCTTGACATGATCGTGGAGGACTGCCTAATATCAGCCGAAAGTATTGCTATATATCTGAGAATATCACGTGAGAGAGTTGGTGCCATTATCCACAATGACTTGGAAATGAGAAAGCTGGCAGCAAAGTGGATCCCCGAACTTTTGACAACCGAACAAAAGAGGAAACATATGGAGTCATCGGTGGCTGTTTTGGAACATTTTGCAAAAAATGAGTCAGATTTCCTGGTCAAACTAGTAATTGGTGATGAGACATGGATCTACTGTTATGATCCTGAGACAAAGGAACAGTCTAAAGAATGGAAGCACAGTGGTCCCTCCAGGCCAAAGAAGTTCTGAGTGCAAAGATTGGTGCAGAAGCAAATGGCAACAGTTTTTTGGGATAAGAAGGGAGTTCTGCTGGTGGACTACCTCCAACAGGGTTCAACCATCAATGCAAAATATTACTGTGCTTTATTGACAAAGTTGAGGCAAAACATCAAGGGAAAATGTTGAGGAAAGCTCTCCAAAGGTGTCATCCTCTTGCATGACAACACCTGATCACACATTGCAGGTGAAACAATGACAAAACTGACCTACTTAGGCTTTCAAGTAATGCCCCATCCACCCTATTCTCCCAACCTGGCTCCTTCTGACTATTATCTGTTCCCCAAACTCAAAAAAACACCTAAAGGGACAACTGTTTGGGAGTGTTCTGGAGGCAAATATTGCTGCAAATGAGTGGTTACACCAGCCATCGGAAGAATTTTTTTTGCAAGGACTTAAGAAGCTGCAGGACAGATGTGGCAAGTGCATTGACTTCCTGGGGGAATATGTAGAATAGTGTGGCAGTTACACTATTCTGCCTATGAGCACTGCCGCCTTTACCTTTACCTTTAACAGCTTCCTACTTTTTCTGGGAAAGGCTCAATACTTATCAGCACCCCCTCGTATCCATATTACAATCTTGTTAAGTGCCGTAAAATCGCGCCCGACTTTTCGGATGCCTAATGGGGGTTCTTCAATGTTTGTGAGAAATCCAAGGAGTCGCTCTACCAATCCATTCCCCGGCCATAAATTTCCGTGAGCAAGCGGGGGTTCCAACCCGGGGATCCTAACCCATTCCTTTCAAGCCCTCCATCCGCGCTGCCTGCAATCTTAGGTGGAAGCCAACCCGACAGCATCCATGGAGTTTCCCAGTAGACATGCCCTGGATTTTCACCACCAAAATTACCCTTTTCTCCCAATTACTCGCGACTTGGGTGAGCTGCTAGAGAGATCTTGAGGAGAAGGCGTATGGAGAAGGAGTATGGATGGGAGCGGGTATTTTGAGTTTCTGGTTTTTGATCATCCTACTGTTGGCTGGTGAAGTAACACCTCCCTCCCGGGCGAGTGGCTCACTCGCTTCTCAGACGCCCGGCTCCCAGTCCACTCCTCCCGTCCCTGCGTCTCTCTCCTTTCCCCAGACCAGATTCTCTTACCTGGAGAGTCATCGTGATGCAGCGATGGACGATCCCTTAACTTTCCTCCGCGAGCAGCAGCCCTCCCGCAGTCTCACACCCCCACCCACCGCGTACTTACCCAACTCCGCCCCTCGCAGCCTTTTTTTATGCTGCCAGGCTGCGCAAAAATCCGCCATTGGTCCAGAGCGATTGTGACGTCACCCGAGGGCTGGCCCCTCGTCCCGCACCACCCAAACCAAAGCGCCGGCGGACTTGCCTTGTTGCCGCGGTCTTGGAGAGAAGCTCGGTCCGGGAGCGGAGCGCGGCTGTGCGCAGGAACCGCGGCCACAACCAGAGCACGGAACGTGCGCCCCCTAAACTCGCTTAACGCTCGGAATGTCTTGGAACCCGTTTCTTCGATTGTCTCCTGCTCAGTGTTCGAGGCCGCTAGGCGTGCCACATGTCAGGACATTATAAGCCCATGTTGAGCAGGGATTGCAGAACTGGGCTGGGACTTGGTAAGAGTTAGGACGTAATCCCCATACACAGCAGCATGAAACTCACTGACAGTGGGACTGATGATCTATCTCCCCCTGATCTACTTCACAGGGCTGTCACAAAAATAAAGTGGGCAAAAGGGAAATCAACTGCCTCATTGAAAGAAAGGTGTAACAGCAAGCTAAAAACACCAGCCTGAGCAAACTGCACAATCCTATTGGGGATTTATACAGGCATAAGTGCAATGGCATGGTTGCGAAATGCTGTTCATTTGTGGGTTGCCATTTAGAATCTGGGTGCCATACTAGTTTTGCATAATGAGAAACGTGAGTGGCAAATCATTCCTTATTAACAATTCATTGCTCAGATTTACAGTTACACTTACGCCACTGTAAATAATCAGTAGGATTCTTGGCACAGAAATCAATGTTGGAAAAAGCAAATGTGTCTTCCATGGAAATACATGATACGAGAAGCACAAATTAAAAACCACTGTATAACTAAATAAAGCAAAATGTGAAAAGCTGCACAGTACTTTGGCTTCATCTATGTTCACAAAGCAGCTTTTCCCAACTTGTTCTTACTGGATATCTCAGAAAATCACATCCACTCAGAAAGGTGAAGCAGCTGCTATTGCCATTTAAGCCTCTCAAAGAAACAGATTCTGCAACAAACAAAATGCCACTCCCACCTAGCCTCCATAGGCTGTTCAGGAGATCCCCAAATTTTCCTTCAAGAAAAACATTAGAGGATCAGCCATCTTCCATCAACAGATAGTTTTTGCCATAATTATTACCCTGCATTAGAGATGGGCAAGAAAAGAACTACGAACACTGATAGGTGGCAGGCCAGTGCATGCCCAGCTCTCAGACGTGATGCCAGACTGCTGTCTCTGAAGTTGGTGGAGGAAGAGGAGACATCAGGAGCAGATAGAGAGATGCCCGGGGCATTGGGTTTCCCTCCCCAAAAGCCTGAAAAAAAAACGAGTCACAAAGCTGTTCTTTTTTTCTGGGTTTGTGGGAGGTTTGTGGGTAGCCACGAATCGCAAACCATGGCAATTCATTTTTCTTGTTTGTGCCTGTGGCGTTCACCCTCATGCCCCTTGCTTGACCGTCAAGACTCAAGAGCACATGAAGGCTAACAATCCCCTCTTTTACACGGCTGCCACCAGGTGATCACTAAACCTTTATTTCAGGAAGATGAAGATTCAGTTCCACACCTCAAAGTCTTTTAAATATAACTTTTGTTTATTGATTGCAGAAATTGATAGTGATTCATGAATATCTTCTATAGGTAAATTTATTGTTAACAACAATCTTCTATTTGATAATACACTCCTAACTAATAACCTCTCAGATTTCCCCAAACTCCACACTATCTCCTTCTCCGCTCTCTCATTCTGACTCCCTGACTCTCTCAGGCTTCACCTCCTATCACGTCTCTCTCAGCTCCACCTCTCCACAATATGAATATGCATGAACAATTAACATAACAGAACATGAACCATTGACATAATAAAGGGGAATGCTACAGTTCTACTCTGCCTTGCTGCCTAGGATAAAAGGCTCAAGCAAGGACTTCAGACTTTCAGAAGGTGTTGGGACAGAGACACAGAACAGCAGCATTAGGAAAAAAAAATGGTTGTTTATTTAAAAAAAAGCCTGCCCAAATTAATAAAAACATAATATCCACTATTCATTTAAGAAGGTATCATAACACAGAATCCTGTCACCAACCATTAACTATATGGTATAAATATAGTTAAATATAACTGTATAAATCCTCAAAAGTGGGAGATATACAGATACCATCACTCATATACTGTGTATGTGAACTACTCATTTCATGCCATCTAGCCTTTATGTACTGAAGTACTGGCTCATCATTGTAAGACACTATTTTGTATATGAATATGGATTTAAACAATTTAGCAATATGATCCATAAGTAAAATAAGTAGGTTTGGGGCATGCATTCTATCGGACCATCAAAATATTTTAAATGGGAACTTTTTCAGTCTTTTAGACAATTTCATTTAAGTTGTGATTAATACTGATGTAAAGTACCGTACTGGATTTTTTTAAAGTTAATAAAATGGTCAGTGTTTCTGCAGAACAGATCTGCAGAGGTCCCAATTGGGCTGTTTTCTCCACAGAGGAAAGAGGCTGTAAAGTGATGTGTTGCTCTTTCTTGAGATCTGAATCTACAAACACCGTCTTGCCTTACCTGTAGTCTGCGTGCAAGAAAAAACAGGCATCACATCCAGCCCAATTTGAAAAAAAAAGGTTATTGCCTCCCCATCCCCAAATTTCATACCATTTTTTGCTTGATGAAAGAGAATTTGAGAGTCCTAGTCTGTTACTATCCCAGTAGTTTCCAACCTTGGGTGTGTCCCCCCCGCCAGATGTCCTTGGACTAAAACTCCCAGAAGCCTTCACCACTAGTTGTGCTGCCAGAATTTCTGGGAGTTGTAGTTCAAGAACATCTAGGGATCCAAGGCTAGGAAGCATTACTCTATCCACTATACCACAGTGGATAGCCTTCTTAATAAAGTTACTAACTTTTAAAGTAGCAATAAGGAATATGTGGCTCTCCAAATATTCATAAAATAAAACCCCCCAGCATGCCTAATGATTGGCCCTACTGACTAAGACTCATGGGAGATGAAGTCCAACAACATCAGGAGGGCCACAGGCTCCCTTCAATGCTTTTTAAAAGCATATTTCCCAACCTGAGAGTCGTAACCCCCAAGGAAGTTGCAGTGTTTTCTGAGAGGTCATGGGTCACCTTATATGTGATGAAGCCCTTATTAAATAATCCCTTCCTTCAGCTTTTGGAGTCGGATATTAAAATTAGCATGTATGTGCATGTATGAGAAACAGTCCTTTGGGGGGAAAAGGAAGCCTCTACTTTCTGAGAAAGGATGACTTCACTCCATTAAAAATGCCTTTTTAATGCAAACATGGTAGGAGTGTTGTCACAGGTTACTTGGCTATTATAAAAGGGAGTTGTGATCAAAAAAAGGTTGGGAACCACTGCTTTGGAGATAGGAGACCTCTTACCCTACTATTTTCTGGGCAAATGCTTGGTGATCATCCTACATTGGCATGCTTCCTTGTTTGCATGACCGAATGCATGGTTCGAATGGTCCTTTCTCTTTCCTGTGGGACTTTTCTCTCTTTAACAGACAGGCAGATTTATCAAGAATTTGCAACTACGACAAGCCTGACAAATTTCAAGCTTCGGGTGGAGGCCAGCTTTCCAGGTGGACTGCTCCCTAGGCTTAACTCTCCTATTTATTATTTCTTGTTATATTACCTGTCTGTAAGCCGCCTAGAGTGGTCGCAACAACCAGATAGGCGGGATACAAATAGAATGAATGAATGAATGAATGAATGAATGAATGAATGAATGAATGAATACTGTACTGTACTGACGGAGTTTCTCTTAACGTTTACCCAAAATCTGTTTTCTTGCCATCTCCCTGCTTTGGTTCTAATCCTGAACAAGTTTACTCCACCTTCAGATATTTAGAGACAGGTTCCCTATCACGCCCTACATATGCTCTTTTTGGGGGGCTACATATATCTAGCTCTACCTGGTGCATTTCTGACTGCTACATAGTGGCACAGAAAGCCCTGCCGGTCAGGGGGAAGCCCTGTGGGGCCGCTCCATTCGGGAAGTTGGAGGCGAAGCTCAGCGAGGAATCCTGCAGCAACATCCCTTGCCTCCGCTTCCCGGGCAAGACGCCCGTGTGAACGCAGCGGGACTCACGCGGCAACGAGCGTGCACAACGTGCAAGGGATGAAGCTTGCCCGCAGCGACCCCTAATGGTCAGTGGGGAGAACCTCGGCTTGCCTGCGCTTGGCCGGGAAGTTGCGCGTGAAAGGGACCGGGATGGCGTCGCCGGCCTCTTCCGCTTCCGGGCGCCGCGTGCCTTCCTCCTCTACGGGTGCTTGGGATGGCTGCTCGCGGTGCGGAGACCCCAGCGGGATTCGGAGAGGTCTCTGTGGGTGAGGGGGGAAAAGATGTCGGGGCGCCGTAGCTGGGGGGGGGGAGCAGCTGGCGCCTGGTTGCTGCTTGCTGGGTCGGTGGGAGGCCGCGAGGGAACCGTTGCAGCGGTCTGGGAGGCTTGCTTTACCGAACGAGGGCTCCTCGCGGCTCCTGTGGGCTCCCCCTGCTCGTCACCCCCCCATAATTTGTGCACCTCGCGGCGGCAGTTTGGGGGGGGGGAGAAGGGGAAGGCGCGCCTTAGAAGGCCGGCCCTGTGAGGTGGGCTGCCTGGAGTTGAAGGAAATTGGTTGCTCCGGGGTAGGGCGTTTGAAACTTGGCTTTGCATTCTTGCAGAAATGTAGAGGGTGAGCGTGGCCCCTCTCAAGGGGACCAGCAAAGCACCTAGTAACATCTTAAGAGACTAAAAAGGTTTAACTTAAAGTGACTTATTTGGAAATTAGCAGAAACGTGGGAACACGCGCGCGCACACACACGCACACACACAGAGGCATTCTATACGGCAAGGAGTGAGGACCGTTTGCACTTGGACCAGCTTTAGAGGATCACACACACAAAACCCCTTTGCCTGGTATTTGGAAAAATTGGCTTACAGTGCCAGTAAAGGATAGGATGTGCTAGGTCACGGGTGGGTAATTAATTTCTATAGTGGGGGCCCACATGAAAAATCTGAACTGTGTTCGGGGGGGCTGAACCAACTTTATTTAAAAATAAAATGAAACAGTGATGTTATGATTGCTTTTATTTTAAACTTGTTAATCTTCACAAATACTAAAGAGGTTTTTTGCGGTATGTTAAAGATAAGCAATTGATCAACTTTAGACAAAAAGCTATACAATGGTTTTGATGTTCAAAACTGTCCACGGGCCAGACGGGAGCGGCTTGCAGGCCGTATGTGGCCCTCGGGCCACACTTTGCCCAGGTCTGTGCTAGGAGTTGTAAACCAAACCACTGCATTGCCAGGCAAAACATTTGTGACTCCTTCATCAAACAAGACATGCATATAGGAACATGTGTGGATGGGAGAGTGGGTGGGGTGCGATAATGAGACCATTAGACTAGGACTTTAGCGAACCGGTTCAAATCCTCACTTACCCATGATATTGGGTGACCCTGGTCTCATCACACACTGTCAGCCTGCCCTACCTCCCAGCAAGGTTATAAAATTTAAATGGGGAGAAAGAAACCCCTGCACACTGCCTCCCGCTCTTTGCAGGAAAGAGGAGTGATAAAAACAAGACATTCCGTCCCAGCTGAAACATAGTTGTTTCTTCAGCAGTATTTTCTGTAGGCAGGCATGGTGCGTGTATGGTCAGTTGAAGACTGCAGTCCCCTTTTCCCAGTTACAGTGTGGCAAACATATAATTTGTCTTCAGATGAAGATATAACTGTGCTGAGGCACAAGCAGGAGTAAAAAACATACAAAAGTGGACTGCACCATAGAATCTTAGACAGAGATAATAAGAATGGACTTAAAAATATGTAGATTTGTGCATGATGGGGCTTACGTTGAACTTCCTTGCAGATTGGATTCTGACTGCATGAAACACAGAAACTGTATATTCCAGTGGGACTTTGCAGTATTACCACTGGATAAACTGATTTTCTTTAACAAGTTGCTCCCCAGTCTGGATGCATCCTCCAGATGTGTGGGACTATAATTCTTATCATCCTTTAACATGCTGGTTGGATGGGAATGATGGGAGCTGTAGACCAGGAGGATTTGTTTTTTGCTTCTATATTTCCATTGTTCAGCTAAATAAGAGGTTCACTCCGTCTTCTGCTGTCAGATGCAAACGTATGCTAGAGTGGGGCCTTGGGGGAAGAAATATGTAGATATGTGTTTAGATGTGGTATATCTCTGGTTTTGTTCACAGTAATTGCAGCTTCTTTGAATGTGCAATTCACATGTCAAAGCAGAAGAAGAGCATCAAGATGTCTGCTCAAGAAGGGAAGGGCTCTGTCCGTAAGTCTAAGCAAATGACTATAAAAACCTCTTTAAACAATCCCTATGCTCTCCGGTGGTGCACCCTGGAAGGAGAGGACATGCATTTCATATTGGAAACCTTGGAAGAGGTCATGAAACAGCTTGCTTTTAAAAAGATAGCATTTCGGAGGAGGAAGAAACCCTGTTCTGGGCAAAAGGAAAAGAAAAAAACGCTCTGTGCTGAAGCCATCAAGCTTCAAGAGAAAAATGAAACTGAAGACGATAAGGCACATGGGTGGACTGACTTGCAAGTGAGGGACCAGCTTGCTGTTGGGATCAATGAAGTAACTAAAGCATTGGAAAAAAACGAACTGCAGCTTGTGCTGGTGTGCAAATCGGCAAGACCTGCCATGCTGACATCTCACCTTATCCCACTCAGTGTAAGTCGAGCCATCCCAGCTGTTCAGGTGCCACGGCTGAGTGAAAGACTAGCACCAGTTCTTGGGTTAACGTCCCTCCTAGCCCTGGGATTTAAAAGGAACACGGACGCATTTGGAGAGGTAGCCAAGGTGATTATTCCACGAATGCCTCATTTGGAGGTGCCATGGATTCCTGAACAGTCCCCAGGAAGCGAAGAAGACACTGAGCTAACAGACTTGACAGCGGTTGAGCTTCCAGAATCAAACCCAGAAGGCGGCTCTCCTAGTCAGAAGCGGAAAAGAACAGAGATCAGCCAGCTCGCCTCTCCTGTCATAAGGCTGCAAGGGCTGAAGGTTAAAAAAATAGTTCCCAATCCAAACAAGAGAAGGAAGCTTCCAAAACCAAAAAAACGTATTTCAAAGTGACCAATTGTATTGGCTGCCGTCCTCCTGTATATTGTTTGTCAGTTTAAAAAAAAAACCTACGTGATATTAAATCGATAACTTGTTCAGCAGTTAAAACCATATTACTTTACAAGGTCATTGAGGTTTCTGCTGTGGTTCAAGCTGATGACTTGCTGTTGTTTTCCAGGCCATGTGTAAATTTACAAAGACACTGTTTAGTACAAAGGTGTTTTAGATGGAACATAATTATTCAAAACAAAAGTGTATGAAAGTGATACATTTATTCAAACATCCATCTGTGCTATAGGTTTAATAGTTGTGCATCTGTTAGATGCTGGAGTTGCAAACATCTGTAATTTTGAGAGCACAGTGTTCTTTTTTCCCTTTTTAAATTTTTTTTCACTATTAGATAGTTGCCCTTGTAATCAAATAATTCATGCAGAACTGATTCTATGCATTTTGCTTTTAACATTCAGATGCTTTCTTTAGCATGTCTATTCGTCCAAACACCTGCAGTAAGGAGACTATCTGAAGTTCAGATTTGATGCCAGGACTCATGATCTTACAGATCTCATGATGCAGATTTCCTAAACAGAGATTACAACTTTACCATGTTCAGATTAATAACATGCCATTGAATCCAAAACCTTAGCAGCTACTAAAATAGTGCAACGTAAACAGTTCTTTAGAGTTTAAACTTCCTTCAGTACACTGCTGTAGTATAAAAACTAAAATAAAGTTACAGTATAAGAAATTGGGAATGAATAGCAACAAGAACTGAATAAAATTTTTAGGATATATAATTAATTACAGACTGTGCTTTTACATGGCATTAAACCGCAGGGGGATAATTTATAGCCCTGCAGATGCTGTTGGAGTGGATCTCCCATCAGCCCAAACCTGCAAGAGGATGCATGTCCCCCCACATTTATTATTTTAATATATATGGACAAATGTTCTAGATTGTAAGAGAATGTGCTATGCATGCAAATTATGCCAATGCACATTGTGCCTTGGTGAGAGATGATGAGAGGTGTAGTTCAGCAACATCTGGAGTCTATACATTTTCTCTTACGAAACCATTTTCTTTCCCCCCACGGCCAGGTTTTATGTGGATAAAACTTTGCAAACTTAAAAAGAAACATTGTTTACATGGTTTTATGACTAGTGAAAATGTACAAATCATGAACAGTGCTGGCTTTGTTATTATGTAGTCTACTCAGTTGCTCAACAAATCAACTACTGTATAAACCCTGGATTATTTCGGCATGGTTCATAAACTAGAATTTGTCATCATGATTCCTGCTTTCCATGTAGTGACAACCTAGGGATGGGGGAAAGGGAGACTACATGGGTCAAGAGCCTTCGTTCTGGCCATGGGGGGAGGGAAGGGAATATGCAAGCCTCAGCCTTTTTTCAGGCTTGTAGTAGGCCATCTCCATAGAACTAAACCCTGTCTTAGTGCTGTGTACGAGGCCATTTAGTCTAGTGAAATATGTTCTTTAATTTAGCTTTGCACTTGCAGTAGTGGTGCCTCGCTTAGCGATTACTCCGTTTAGCGACGAAATTGCTTAGCGACGCTGTTTTTGCGATCACAAAAGCGATAGCTTTGCGATGTTCTCGATGGGGTATTTTCACTTTGCGATGATTGCAGGGAAGCGATCATCGCAAAGCCCCCATTTTTGCAAGGCTGATCGTTGGTTTCAAAATGGCCACCGGGGAAAAATCATGAGCGCCCACTGTGTTTAGGGATGGATTCCTTGCTTTAGAGGCACCGAAAATGGTGGCGCTATGGAGGATCTTCGCTCAACTGTGAGTTTTAAGCCCATAGGAACGCATTGAAGGGGTTTCAGTGCGTTTCTATGGGCTTTTTAATATCGCATAGCAACGTTTTCGTTCTGCAGCGATTTTTGCGGACCGAATTAACGTCGCTAAGTGAGGCACCACTGTAGTTTGTTTTTTAAAGGGTATGAGAAGACAAATCTTCACTTATCTACAATATGTTTTGTGTTTGACCTTCTTGGAATGCACATAGAACACTAAGGAAAGCGGTTAGTAGATAATGGCTGAAATCCAGTAGCAAGTTTCAGCTTGGGTAGGCCTACTGGATTGGTAGGGATCTGGCAAGTTGTCTTTTTCTACTAGATTTCAGCCACTGGGTTACAAAAAATTATCTAAAGTCCAAATTCTTGTTTATTTTGTGATTTGGGGTGGGGTGAGGGAATGTTAGTCATGTGAAGTCCCTTGCAGCTGCGAGCCCTTCCCAGTATCAACCATACCATGACAATTTCTTTTTCTCCAGAAAGCTTATATTTTGCTCAACTAGTCTTGTAAACTTGTTCATGTCACTGAGGATATCTACATTTTTAAAAAAGCTGAAGGGGTGGAGGGAGAGAGAGTCAACATCTGAAGTATTAAGTTGAAGTTTGCAGAAGCATTAATTCATTCACCAGAGTTATTCAACTTGTACACATCCAATCAGAAATCAATTTAAGGATGAAGCTAGCATGAAATATCCCATGACTACCTTATTTCAAGTAAATGGCACCTGCAAACATGGTTTACTTTTGCAGGGTTTTTTTAAAAAAAATCTAATTGCTATTTGCAAAATAAATACTTAGCTGTTGCAAAGTGAGGAATGGCTATCAAATAAATGTATTAGCATATTTTAAATAGGGATGCATCAATAAGATTGGGATAAGGGAGAGATACATTGTGGCATACACTGATCTCACCTAACAAGGTATTTGCAGCAGTGAGCATTTTTGCTTATTGGGTTAAGGAGCAGCAAAACCTCTTTCCTTCAAAATTCAAGCTCATACTATTCCTAGCAACAATTTTTACTTATTTACAAAAATGTACTTTCAGTTTTAAATCATGGACTTTTTTTTAAAAAAAGCAAGTAGACAAAAGGAATATGTGCAATTTTGCAAAAGCCTTAAACACATTCAGTCTTAAAACATCTTGATAACAGTACCATGTTTCCCCGAAAATAAGACAGGGTCTTATATTAATTTTTGCTCCAAAAAAAGCAGTAGGGCTTATTTTCAGGGGATGTTTTATTTTTTCATGTACAACAATCTACGTTTATTCAAATACAGTCATGTCATCATCTGGTTGCGGCACAGTGGTGGAGGGTGGGCTTATTTTTGGGGTAGGGCTTATATTACGAGCATCCTGAAAAATCATACTAGGGCTTATTTTCAGGTTAGGTCTTATTTTCAGGGAAACAGGGTACAAAAATTCTTAAGTTTTATTTACAGCTGAACTTAACCTACCACAAAAAGAGCAGGCTTTTCTTTCTCCGAGCTGTAAGATGAATAGAATAACTTAATTCAGGCAACATATAAACACCTGCAGTAGACAGTGCGATACTATTGAGTCAAGTCAGTGATCTCTTGAAGATCAAAGTACAAATCTGTGTTTTTATTGATTTGGCAGCATTGCTTATGGAGAAACAAATGCACCAGTCAAACCAGCACATTTCGATACCACTCCACAGTTACAAAAGACATCCAAGAATTGTTTCCTAACAAACAGTCATATTCCCGAGACTTGTCTCCTTTCAACGATGGCATCCATGTGATGGAAATAAGCAGAAATACTCAAAATTGGCTCCTTCATGGTTAACACTGATAAACATACACTACCACTTAATAAATAGAAATGCAGCAGTTCAGTCACGTAACAGTAAAGAATTTGTACTCTATTCCACTGTAATTGAGTTGTTGTACAAAAACAGTCTTATGCAGGAAAGGGTGGGAAGGGAGAGAAAAACCCCTTTTTTATCAAGATGCGAGCTAAGCGTTCAAAAATTAAATGTGCTTTATTTGTTTTCATTGATAAACAAAAAAGTTCATGAGCTTTTCTCGTTCACAGCTGAATGTGTGGAGGGCTGGTCACGCATGGATTTCTTCATGCCCCTCCTGCGCACACCTCCGAGTTCAATGGTTTATTTAAGTTCATCAGGCATTGTGCTTTTACTGCTCTTGAATTGCACTGATCCAAGAACTTCCAACAGCCCAGATGATCACTTCCAAGAAGTATAAATACAAGTGTCCTTTCCTCTTATTGTAGTACAAGACCAACCTAGAAAAACAATAGCACACACTTTAGTCTAGACAGTGAAAGGAAAGCATGGATAGCTGAAGGTTTCAAATCGTGCTTTTACTATTAGTGTTCATTTCAAAGAGTAACAAGGAAGAGAACAGAATTACAGATTATCCAGGCAAATACAAATTATTATAAAAACCAAGTTCCCGTTGTAAATGTGTTACCTTTTCAGATTCCATGCCAGGACACCTCCAGTTATATAGGTAATACTGCAAGTTGCCATCTCCAATACCAAATTTCAGTTTTTCCAGGAATGTTTTGTTTTCCATCAAGTCTAGTGCATTGAACACATCAAATCCTTTCTGGCAATACAAGAAAATTCTAAATTGACTTCCTAATAGGTTCACTTATATCAAGGTTTACAATGACACACACTGCATAGGAAGAATATTGTGGCATCTGAGAAATACGTTACCAAATTTCAATTTTTCCAGAAATGTTTTCTGCTCCATCAAATCTAGTGCACTGAACACACCAAATTCTGTCTGGCAATACAAGAAAATTCAAAATTGACTTCCTAATAGGCTCACTTATGTCAAGGTTTAAAACAGTGCTCCGTTTAGGAAGCTAATTTTGAATTTAGTTGCATTCATATTATGTTCATTCTCACACATCTGGTATCACAACCTAATTGGTACACAAACAAGTTTCAGGACAATTATCTCCCTATTCCCATGTGCTCTGAAATTTATAGGAAGCTTCAAGTGGAATTGTATCCAAACTCATCTTGAGTCAGATAAGGAATATTTAAGGCTCTGTGCTTAAACAGAGATAATCCTTACATCTCAAAATAAGGAAAGTTACCAACACTTACAAGCTTAGCTTTTAGACTCTCTGAGTATTTTATGTGTAAGGCAAACAAAACTTGTCTTAAACCTTAGTGTGAAACCCATAAACCACACAGGCAAACAAAACAATTTGTTGTTAAAAACAAATGCCAAACTTGCAGGTCTAGGTATTAAATAGGAAGGGGAATATAAGAGAATTTACTTGTGTGGAGAAAGACCAAATGGCTTAAACATTACGGCTAAGCATACTTATTACAGACACAATTATTTTAATGAAGAACATAGCATCAATTAATAACTTAAGGTAACGTCGAGCCAGCTACCTGAGCATGGAAATTAAACTAAAGTCATGAGCAGAGTCTTGGCTGCAGTACTGCAGTTTAACCATTACACCATGAGGCTTTGGCAGTTCCAGATCAGTTGAGGTAGTGCTGTTAAAGGAACACGAAAGCCAAATTTCATATTGACCTTTCCTGCACAGAAGCACAGCAATAAACCTTTGGATTTGAGCTGCTGAGTACAAATGATAGCTCTTCTGCAGACCAACAGAAACAGAGCTCTGGGCAAGCAGAAGGTGTCCTTCAAGATCAAGACAGGTGCTGCATCACAGGGTCCAATGGGGCAAGGATAGCATGCTCCCCACTGGGGGAGACCATGCTCTCACTGAACAAGAGGTCTACCATTTTTCTGTAGCAGACTGGACAACTTCCAGAGGTTTGAAAGCTGCATGCACATACACTGACATAGGGTCACATCCATACTCTTATCTTTCTAAAGTTTTTTTTTTTTTAAAATAAAAGCTTTCTTAAAAAACTGAAAATGCTCTCTCATCCTGTGTGGTGACCCACTTTTTAAAATTTAAAAGATAGGTGAGAAGACAAATAGTTGCTAATGGCCTCCAAAACACATGGAAAAATTACCTCCCATGGGGTTTTTATGACCAAGTCTTTTTTGTTTTGTTTTGTTTAATTTTGTTCATGTATTTTTGGACCTGTTGAGAAGATTTTAGGGTGTGTGGGACCCACAATTGGGCCCCTGGGGAGGGGGAGGGGCACAGGTAATCCATAGGACACGCTTTTGCCTATCCCACTCTAACAGGTAGGCACGTATGGTGCTTCATAATGCCTCACCATTAATTAGCCAGGCTAAAGATTTCCAGGGGCTGTATTTGCCTGTCCCATTCTATAATGAAGGAGAAAAATCCAAGTGAAGAGCTTACCAGCTTTGCTATAATGAGTGCATCATTCATGAGATCCAGAAGAGGGGTTTCTGTATGAACATTGTAGAAGGAATAGGCAGCTTTGAGGCTTTTATGAACAGGATGATGCATGACAGTTGACGGTAATGTATAGAAACTTAGGAAGTCAGTTAAAACACCATTTGAACTCTGGGGAAGGAGAAAAGACTGCAGTGAGGAATTGCAACAAAATGTCTTAAGCAACTCAGCTGACAGAATTACAGGTGTGGGAAGGGAAGAAAGTGTGGTCCTTTACAAACTCCAACAAAGATGAGCAATACATCATTAAAAAGTGCAAGCTTTTGAGTTCTACAACTCTTCTTCATGTTGGGTGTTGTAGAGATAGGGGAAGAAGACTGAAATGTCAAAAAATCACCTTGGTCAGAGAAGAACTATCTTGGTAATGTTTTATATCATGCAGTGGCATGTTGATAATACATATATAGCTAAATAGATATTAGTATATTTTATTGGTGGACAACAAATGTCGCTGTAGCTGAGGACTACAAATGGCCGGCTTGGGGTCTAGAAAATGAAATCTAGATTTACTGTATCTCCAGCCTTCAGCCTAATTACATTGGAGAAAAGTGAGGGCTGGAGAGAGAGAGAGGAAGGAGTGACAAAAGCCAACAGCCTCACCCATTTGAGTGTTAAGTCTTGGACATTTTCCATCTGTATAAATGCAGCCCTTGCTTGAACAGAAGTTCTACTTTCCTCCCTATCTGGCAACTGGAGAGATTGGGTACACAGGCACTTACACTTAGGTCTGGAAATAATTGGGATGCTGACACAGTTTTCATAATTATGGCTCTGTGCGTCACCACAATGGATTTGAAATGAAACAATTGAGATGCAATTGAAGTGCAGACTTTCATCTTTAATTGAAAGAGTTGGACAAAAATATTGTATGAAACGTTCGAGGATTGCATTTTCATACACAGTCCCATTATTTCAGGGGCCCAAATGTAACTGGACAAATCAGCACAATCATAAATAAAATGTTCATTTTTAATACTTTGTTGAACGTCCCGTGGAGGCAATGACTGCTTGAAGTCTGGAACACTCGGACATCACCAAACGCTGGGTTTCCCACTTTGCGATGCTTTGCCAGGCCCAGACATCACCAAACGCTGTGTTTCCCACTTTGCGATGCTTTGCCAGGCCTTTACTGCAGCTGTCTCCACTTGTTGCTTGTTCATGGGTCTGCCTTAAGTTTTGTCCTCAGCAAGTCCTTCAGTGGCCCAGTGCTACTGGAAGACATGCTCGCCCATGCCATCACACTGCCTCCACTGTTTTACAGCTAACATGGTATGCTTCGGATCATGAGCTGTTCCAAGCCTTCTCCATACTTTTTTCTTCCCATCATACTGGTGCAGCTTGATCTTAGTTTCATCTGTCCAAATTATGCTGCTCCAGAAGTGGGTTGGCTTATATATATATATATATATTTTGGCAAAGTCTAATCTGCCCTTTCTGTTCTTGAGGCTTATTAATGGTTTGCATGTTGTGATAAACCCTCTGTATTTGCTATCCTGAAGTCTTCTATTTATGGTAGACTTAGATAATGATTTGCCTGCCTTCTGGAGTGTTCTCCATTTGGCTGAATGTTGTGAAGGGTTTTTTTTTTCTTTACCTATGATCATCCTCCACTGGATCCTATGATCATCCTCCACTGTTTTTCTTCCGTGGATGTCCAGACCTTTTCATGTTCCAAAACTCAACAGTGTCTTCTTTTTTTCCCCCTAAGAATTTAGCAAAATGTTGATTTGGGCACTCTTAATGTTCCTGATGTCTCTCTTGATGGAGTTCTTTCTTTTTTGGCATCCTAAGGATGGCCAGCTTCACTTGCATTCAGAGCTCCTTTGAATGCATGTTGTGGGTTCACAGCAACAGCTTTCAAATGTGGATGCCACACCTGGAATCAACTCCAGGCATTTCATCTCCTTTATTGATGATGAAATAACAAAGGAATAGCCCACTCCTGTCCATGAAACAGCTTTTGAGTCAGTTGTCCAATTACTTTTGGTCCCTTGAAAAAGAGGCTACATATTAAACAGCTGAAATTCCTAAACCCTTCCACCCATTTGGATATGAATACCCTCAAATTAAGCTGAGACACTACACTTTGAGCCCATATTCACTATTTAATTCTTAACTTGTATTTGTTTAGGTAAACAGTCAAAGAAACAAAACTTGTGTCAGTGTCCAATTATTTCTGGACGAACAGTATATTTCATCTTTTCCTCCAAGGAGTTGAGGACAATGCGAAAGGTCATCTTCTATTTTGATCCTCACAATGGTCCTGTGAAGTAGATTAGGCTAAGAAATAATGGGTGGCCAAAGTTCAGCCAATTCTCTTCATGTCTTGAGTGAGGACTTGTACCCAGGCCTCCCTAGTCCTAGATTCTAACCCTTACACCATGAGGCCTCTTGCTTGACTTCTCCAGGGTTTGTGGGAACAACTTACAACTAGAGAAGGAAATCCTACAAGGCTCCTCCACTGTGGCAAGACCCACTTCATGCTCAATCCTGTCAATCTACCTGGGGCCATCTGTGGTGCTATTGTGTATATTCGTCTTTATTGAAGGAACAGCCAAGGCTCCCGATTATAATAGGAAGATGCAAACTGCCATTACCAATTAGACAATGAGGGTCATCTATGAATAAAAAGTTTTATTACAGACATTGTAATAATTTTATTTCAAGGGAGACATATGACCATGTCCTGCTTTTAACATTAGGCTGCAGAGCAGCGTAGCATTACATATATGCAAGAGCACCAAACTGTGGCATAGCGATCAGCGTGTTGTACAAAGACTTGGAAAATCCAGTTTCAGCTCCTCACTGAGTTATGAAACTCAAAGAGATGACCTTGGGGGAGGAGGTCACAGCATTCTCAGCCTGACCTACTTCACACAGATGGCTGTGAAGATAAAGTGGGGAGGAAGAAAGACATGTATAGAGTCATCAGCCCACTGGAGGAAAGAAGGGACTATAAATCGATCATATCAATGAGCTCACATCCCCTCCGCCTCCCTGATGTAGCCATGAGGAGATTGGAAGTGTTGGGTTTCCTCTTTGAAACTAACCTGAATTCATTATGCACATGTATACACTAAAAGAAACAAAAATTAATTTTATTAAGCAATAGAAAGCAGTAAAATTAAGGGTAGTTCCAGACATGGGGTCAGAATTTCTCTCACCTCCACAACAAAGGTGTCAATAATATGTTCCTGAGGCAAGAACCAATGGGCCACTTCCTCTTCATCCATAAAAGGAGCAAGATTAAACTGTTTCAAGTAATTGTTGATTAACTCTTGAACTGCTTTAATATCTTTTCGTTCCATAGGTCTCAACCCTGATGTTTTCGTGGTCTTGGTATAATGGAAGATCAAAAAAAGAAAAACACACACAGAGAGACACCTTATTGTGGTCTTGGTATAATGGAAGATCAAAAAGAATTAAGAAAAACACACACAGAGAGACACCTTATACCTTAAGTAAATTCCAAAGAAATGTGCAAGAGTATTCAAATTAGGAGCAACAAAGGTTCCTAGCCTCTAGCACAGCCTTTGCTTAAGCTGGCACCCTCCAGGCATGCTAGACTGCTATTCCCTTCTCCATCAGTGTGTTGGCTGTGTGTCATAAGCATTGTTGTTGGTCCAATGGATTTGGAAGGAACTAAGTTTGAGGATTACTGCTCTGGAATGGTGTTCAGCACAACTGCCAGCAACCAAAACCTTCCAAAGGTACAACCAACAGTACCATTATTCTCCACAAATGTTGTGTATGTTTGTGTACCTGGATTTTGGGAAGGGGCCAGATTCTGGATTATAAATGATGACTAGACCACTGGTTCTTAACCTTGGGTTACTCAGGAGTTTTGGACTGCAACTCCCAGAAGCCTTTACCACCACCTGTGCTGACTGGGGTTTCTGGGAGTTGCAGTTCAAAAGCATCTGAGTAACAAAGGTTAAGAACCATTGGACTAGACATCAGGTTTTCATATTTCTTGGACTCCCAAGAAATCCATGTCCTCACATGTGTTTCCAATTGTGCACAAGTAGGGAATGAAGGCTCCATCCGCTATTATTTTATGGTGAAGAAGAAGGAAGAAATCATGTTTTCATATTTCTTGGACTCCAAGAAATCCACGTCCTCACATGTGTTTCCAGTTGTGCACAGGTAGGGAATGAAGGCTCCATCCGCCATTATTTTATGGTGAAGAAGAAGGAAGAAATGGATGAGAGTGGCTAAATTTTGTGAGGACTGCAAGGAAAATGAAAGTTGCGTACATAACCATGACTTCAAGCCATTCTTACTCCAGGTCTCTGTGAGACCACTTTTGAGACTACAGAATTAGTGGACTCTGAAGACAATGCATCATCAATTTTGTATCTGTAACTTTGAAATTGATAAAAACGGATGTGGAACCAAGAGCCTGCCCTAAATAATATTCTGGAAAGGATGTTGTCTAAATCAGTGGTCCCCAACCTTGGGCCTCCAGATGTTCACCCTAAATATTCTGGAAAGGATGTTGTCTAAATGACACATGTTCAGAGACTGCTTCATGTTCTAAAGGCCCTGTGCAACGTACGTGGAGAAAAATGAGGCTGTTAAAATAAAATAGCTTCTTTCCTGATATTGTCTTGTCTACTTAAGCCACCAGTACTCTTAATAATTCTACAGTTCTTTAAAATATTTTCTCCAAATGGCAGCAACTACTTCAATGTCCCTGAGTAGGAAATTCTGTCCTCCCAAAATGAGCCCCTTGTCAGAGAATGACAGACAGACATTTTCGCCCCGCCCCTACTCCCCAACGATAAGGATATACTGCTCACATCAGGAAGTCGGTAGAGCTTCATTGTTCTCTGTAAAGTCATATTTCTACTCAAATGAGAAAATTTCACCTCTACCAATTTTCTGGGATTCAACGATCGATGCCAGTACCTGGGAATTATTAAGAAAAAAGGGGGGGAATTACCTTGCTTAACGCCAGTTCCTAAATAGCCATCTCTTCATTTGCAATTCAGATAAAATTTATTATTAAAATTCAATTACCTATTTCAAGACAAAATCTTCCTACGTCACTTGGAGAAGACCAAGGCCATAACTGAACAGAATTTCCATATCCAGATGTCAAGCCTAATTTTGCTGTTTTTGAAATATGTGTGTTCCAACTAAGCAGCAGTACAAAGTTAAGTCGTGACAGCTGCTGTCCCCATCACAGACTGCTACGGAGAGCATAACTGAAATGTGTGGGAACTACACGTAAACAAAAGCTTAGATTCTGCAACTCACACATCTGAAGCCAATGTATATCAGACCCTTGTTTATCAGTCTTCTCCCAGCCTTGCACCTCCAACCCCTCTCCATCCTTTCAGTCATGACCACTGGAAAGCTGATACATACCTTCTCTTGCACGCAGCTGAAAACAATATTTCACAGCACAATTGTACAATTATCTGCTCAGACATAAGCCCCACTGAATTCAAAGGGACTTGTTCCTGAGTAGTACCCTGTGTGGTGTAGTAATGGACTAGGACTCTGGAGACCAGGGTTTGAATCCTCACCTGGCCAGGGAAACTTAGTGGGGTGTAGAACTGGTAAAACCACTCCTTAAATATCTCCCTTTCCTTGAAAGCCCTATTTGGGATGTTATAAATCAGTTCTGACTTGATAGCACTTAAGTAATGAACTATTCCTGAGTAAGTTGTATGCACTACCACTATCTCTCTGAATATACCAAATCTCTGATTTCAGGAGCTAAGCAGAGTCTGGCCTGCTTAGTATTTGAATGAGAGAACACCAAGGAGTACCAGAGATTTCCAGGTAGGTCCAGGAAAGAAGCCTGCCTAAAACTGCTGCAAGTCAGAACTGACAGTATTTGACTGGATGTGCCAAAGTAGTGACTTAGTATAAAGCAGTAGCCTTGGTTTGTCATTCCAGTTTCAGCTGCATCTATGGCTTGTAATTGGGTCAGACTTAGTATATTAGTGTCATTCCAGTTGCAGCTGCATCTATGGCTTGTAATTGGGTCACTTAAATTTCTTTGAATGTAGGCAACTTCAGATGTGTTGCGAATAACCTGCGTCAGGGAATCTTTGATCCTTCAATGGTTTTAAATCACCATTCCCCAAGATTCCCTGGCGCAGATTATGCGCAACACATCTGAAGTTGAAACTGGTACTCCTTGGTGTTCTCTCATTCAAATACTAAGCAGGCCAGACTCTGCTTCTCTCCTGAGCTTGGCTAGGAAGCCCTACAAAGAGTTTAGGGCTTTATAAAGAAAGCATGAAGAGACGCCAAGAGAAAGGAAGCAGAGTTCAACAGTTCAATCAGCGCTGTTTCCACTTCATAGTATTATCAAGCTCCCTGTGGAACATGAGAAAGGGAAGGGTTTCTCTACAATAAAATATGCAAACATTTGGGAACATATTTTCTCCTTTGAACATAATGCTAGAAGTGTGACATAATAATGCGTTATTTCCCGTTTCCATGCAGTTTATGAACCTTCACTCCGACTTTAAACACACGGTGAAAATGAAGCCTCAAAACTATGTTTTGCAGGCTACATGCATAAAATCAAAAAAAGACACTCCTCATTTTTTTGAAAAGCAACCAGTATTTCAGAAAACCTTTTGCTTACCTGCAAGTTGCTACAGGTTTGGGAAGTACTACTCCTGCAGTGTAAACTGCTTGAAAGATCCCTTCAAGGTTTACTCTCCTGGTTATCTCCCGAATCAGGACTGGTGCTACTCGCTTAGATCTCAGTTTTTTATGGACACACAGAAAATTAATTTCTACCATTTTCTTCTCACTAGAAGAATAGAAAGTTATAACAGCTACTTCCTATTTTCAAAAACCCAAATCTGCCCCATCAGAGAAATAAAATTGAGATTTTTATGACTTAGCTTAAAAGTATGGAATAAGACCCATTTGAATCAACGGAACATACAGAGGAGGTGACTCACCATATAACTCTATAGATTCAATGGGCCTACTCTAGTGAAATTTACTATGCTAAGCGGCAGGATTTTTGGCACTGTAATACACAGAGTTGGCACATCTTTTAACACTGAATCCCGTTTGCTAGTTTAACAAAAGGAAAACTTCGTTATTTCAACAGAAGGAATATTCCAATGGATTACTGCCAATATATTTGCTTAGAAGTTTTGTACTCTTTGCAAATCATATACCATATATATTATTATCCATACGTATCCACATCTTTAACCTTGCATGCCTCCAGCTGTATAAACAATATAATATTAAAATTATATCTGGCATTCTTTCCTTGAGGTTGTTTCCCAGAGAGGGGAGCTTGAGCAATTCCCTTGGAAATTGTTTGCCTAGCTAATTGAGTACTTTGTTTCTTAGAAAAGCCTTCAGATTATTAACTTCTGGACTTCCAATTGCACTGTTGCTTTCTAAACTTCAAAAAACATTTCAAAGCAGCTTTATAGTTCAGTAATATTGAACCATTTTAGATATTATTATGCAGATGGTTTAAAAATACTTCCTTATTAAGTGAATTTTTTACACTGGGATTTGCAAGCTGCCACATTACTGCCTTCTAAAGCTATTCCTAACATTTCTGCCTTCCAAATCTATTCCTACTAAACGTACTCAAATATCTAAGTGTTAGTAAAAAATGTAGTGAAATGTTGGTGGTCGCTCCTTGCAGCACCCATCTAGTTCAGAAATTTCCAGTGGTAAAAAATAGCACATATTCTACCCCCCCCCCAAATTCCCAGGTCTTTCTTTGATTTTACTATCTTGGTCCCCATGTCCCAAATTAAGAACTATATTCCATAAATTACAGGCACTGACTCAGCTGGTGACGCAGTAAGCAGAGTAATTATCTGGAATGTTCGACTATAACGTGTTGTCCATTTTCTGGTTTAAACTCAGAATCAGTTCTTAGAACACATCCTCTAAAATCAATGGGGCTTAAATCAAACATGACTAATGCCAGTCCCATTGATTTACATGTATCTCTGCTTTAGGGATGTGATTCTTCCCTGACTTTGCATGTAAAGGATCAGGAATTATTCTCCTTGTCCTACAAAATGGCCAAATATTTTGTGGTTGTGCCCCAAAAAAGAAGAAAGCAAGATTTCATTTTTAAAAATTTATTTTCTGCAAACTTGCACGAAGAATGTGCTTAACAAAAACAGTGCAAACTGCACAACACGATGAGGGCTGCTGCTTTGCTGGATGGAATTTTTATTTGCATCTTTGAAAACCATCCGCAAGTCTGTCTCTGTCGCCTTCTTTATTTGAAGGAAAGGTCACAAGTTTTGCACAGTTTGTGGAAATTATGCAAATAGCACTTGTTATCTCGCTCTTGCTCGAAGGCAAGTAATCGTGTGGGGTTTGAAAATTCTCCATCAAAGTGTCTTGTTGAGTTGAGACCGATCAATGAAAATGAAAAATTTAATGAGTGTTTATTACATCCACTCAGTGGGGCTAAACCAGCATAGCACAAGATTTCAGCCTCAGGATGTATTTAAAATCTTCCCCAAAGAATAGTTTTTCTCCAGTAAATTATTACTTAAAACACACATACCTAATTTTATAAAAGAAATCACAAGCGATCAGGGCCTACCTCTCATAAATCCGAATGTGTGCAGGAATGGCACTTATGAACCCCACCAGCTTTCTATTGGAGGATACCCTGACTCCACAGTGCCACTGGGGAAGCCAGCCTGGAGGCCGAAGGGCCCTGGAAAAGATGCAGGAAAGATTTAAAAGATATTGAGATACATGGAGTTTTCTAGGTGCGGTACAAACATTTAAAATGGGAAGGCTGCCTCCAGCACCCACTGTGGCCTGCGTCACTCCTGAGAAAAGCTAAATGAATGAATGAATGAATATATATTTCAAAAATAATAATCTTAGAACTGCAGAGCTGGAAGGGACCCTATGGATCAATGAGTGCAGCCTCTCTCAAGTAGGCCCAGTGGGGAATTGAACTCCCAACCGCTGGCTCCACAGCCAGAGACCTAAACCACTGAGCTTAAAATGATTAAAAATGGGGTGGGGGTGGAGAGTTCTAAAAACTCAAGTCAGGATGTAGGTGTGTAGCCTCTGTTCTAGTTTTTTTTCTTTTTTTAAATTAGGCTGGGTTTTTTTTTTTTCCTTTTTCTTTGGTAAAGACTGCAAAATCACTGGTCTTGCAGGTTTCTAGGTGCAGAAAATGCAAGTCCAGGGCCATTCTGGCAAAGAGTCTTTGGATATGGAGGGCCAGAAAAACATAGATGAGCTATGTATATTGCTCACCCTTGGTTTAAATTAACTATCAAAATTTGGAAAAGTTACTTTCGGGAGCTTTTGCTCCTACACCCGAAATGACAGCATGGCCACTGGAGAAATTGCAATTAAGAAAACAACAACATAGTTTCAAAGTTTTGCTACAACACAGTTCCTGTCAACAAAATCCCCATATAATGGATGAAATATGTAAATAGAGAGTAATGGGGAAGAAAGAGAGGAACAAGAAAAATAAGATACTGATTCTTCAGAGACTGATGTTGATAACACACAAAACTGGTTACTCACCATAAGAGAAATTCTGGTGAATAGTCAAACCTAAACATATTATCGTCATCTTCTACATAGTTTTCATTTAGCAGCATGTATAACTCCTTTAGCTGAAAAAGTATTAAGAGGAAAAACATTAAGCACTGTGTGCTAGTCTGGATTCTTCACTAGTCTTCACAGTTCAGAAACTCCAGATCACAAATGGATTCCATGCTCATAATAAAGTTCCCATGTGTAGGAGTATTACGCTTACTGGAATATCAGTGGAAACGTCCTATGTACTCAAGCAGAACCATGCGTCTAAAGCCTCAACACTGAAATTGAAAGGTTGTAGGTGGGAACAAAAGATACGGCATAGCAGATACTGTTCAACTGCAACTCCAATTAGCCCATGTCACTGGCCAGGATTCATGGGAACTGCAGTCCCACAACATCATGCCATACATTTGCTACCCCAGGAACAGATATTCTGTGTTCATGCTTAACGGACTACAAGCGGTTCTACTTACAACTTCAGCATTGCTCAGATCTAAAGTGTCCCACGTAAAACCCTGTGGTAAAGAATATGGCTCTAGACGGATGTTGTCCTTATCTGGTTCGATTGCACCATGAGAAGTTATAACTTCACCTGGTAGGGGGGAAAAGACACAATACACTGCATTGCAGATTTGGCATGTTTTTGAAAAACACTTGTTTCTAGGAGGAAAAGTTGATACCGTTATTTTATCTGATTCCACAAGCAAATCAAGTTTAGCACAATTGTTAGTTATGCCAGAGTACCAATAGTTGGTACAGAACCCCACTGCATTGCACTGAACTGTCTGTTACTGCCTGCCTCTTTTCCAGGACTGCATGTAAAGAGTTTCTCCAGAACATTTACTCTGGTTGTTAATTCTGATCCAAGAGAAGATCCACCATCTCCAGTCGCACAAGGAAACCTGGAGCCCTCTCTCACCTCAAGGTCTACCAGATGAAAGATTTCTACTGAGACTGTATTCCATATTTTGAAATATTTCTCTTTAGCAATTTTGTATTTTTTTAAAAAATACACTATTATGGATATACAATTAAACAGAAAAGGGTTTTTAATCATAAATAAACCCCATTGTTTTTAAAATAATAATTTATTTTCCTGATTTTATAGTTTAAATCTAACTGTTACTAGAGCTACTGACTTGTGTTAAGTGTCAACTTAACAAAATCCTACAGATTCAAAAGTTTTTCCCATGGCTGGGACTAAAAGCTGAGTTTGGACTTATATTTTTAAGCAAGATCATCCACACTCTTGTATTTCTAATGTACGGGTGTGAAAGATGGCCAGTGAAGAAAGCTGAGAGGGGAAAAAAATGATTCATTTGTAACGTGTTGTTGGAGGAGAGTTTTGTGGGTACCTTGGACTACCAGAAAAATGAACAAGTGGGTCCTAGATCAAATCAAGTTTGAACTATCTGTAAAATAGGCAAAAATGATGAAACTGCCCTACTTTGGACACATCAAGAGAAAGCAAGATTCTCTGGAAAAGACAACAGTGCTGATAAAGGTGGACGGTAGCAGGAAAAGAGGAAGACCAAATA